ATGTACCTAAATTATTTACCAACTTAATTTCCATCAAGAAACTAACCATGGATCTGTCTTGTCGTGCGTTATTCGATCCAAACTCTTGTATTTTGCAGGAGAAAAATTTCGGGAGGAGGATTGGGCATGCTAAGGAACAAGACGGCCTCTACCTTCTTGAGACCACTGGAGTAACCTTTTTGACAAATGACCAAGATGAGAACTCCATCAATTCTGATCAAACCAAATAGATCTGGCTTCATCATCAATGCCTTGGAAATCCATCATTTCAGATCATCAAATGCATTTTCCCTTCCTTGTTTTCAAAAATTAACCTTAGTGATTTTCACTGTGAAATTTGTGAATTTGCCAAGCACAAGCGTGTAACTTTTCCAATCAGCAATACAAGGGGCCTAAAGCCTTTTGATCTTGTTCATAGTGATATATGGGGCCATCCTCTACCCCTAATGTTTCTGGAGCCAAGTGGTTCGTAACTTTTATTAATGATTGCACTAGAGTAACTTGGATATTTTTTTTTTGAAACACAAGTCTAAAATAAGTACAATTTTGCCCAATTTTCACTCAATGATCAAAAACCAATTTGGGCCAGCATCAAAAAATTCAAAACAGACAATGCCAAGGAATACTTCAATCTTGTTCTTTCTCCTTTCTTTCAGAAGGAGGGAATCATTCATGAATCATCATGTGTCTATATCCTGCAACAAAATGGGGTAGCAGAGTTGAAAAATGACCATCTCTTGGAAAAAAACTCGAGCCATATTGTTTCAAACCAAAGCTCCTAAACATTTTTGGGAGGAAGCATTCCTAACAGCTACTTATCTCATAAATTGTCTCCCAACCAAAGTCTTAGACCTCAAAAGCCCAGTGGATGTCCTAACCTCCTTTTACCTTCATATAAATCTTACCAGTAACCCTTCCCCTCACATTTTCGGGTGTTTATGTTATGTTCATATCCATCACCAAAATAAAGGCAAATTGGACCCAAGAGCCTTAAAAAATGTATCTTCCTTGGCTATTCATCTACTCAAAAATGGTATAAATGCTATCATCCCCTTACCAAATGGTTCTACGTGTCCATTGATGTCACCTTCGACGTAGTTACAACCTATTATACTCCTCATTCTCTTCAGGGGGAGATCTTAACCGAGGAAGACACGGAGGAAGACTACTCTACCCTTGATACAACTCTTATTCAAATAAATAAGCCACATGCACTCACCAATTCAGGTTCAGAAAATCCATCTTTAACACATCCACCACCTTCACCTAAATCCAGTTCTCCTCTAAATACACCACTTTCACCTAAATTCGTTTCTCCTTTAAATAAGTCTATATCCAAGCCTACATTTGTCATGTCCTTCTCTCCAACACTTGAAAATGGAAAATCCAGCAAAGGAAAGGTATACTTAAGAAGGGAAAAGGTCGCTCTTGAACCTCAACTAGCTCAAGAATTTAATCCAGATTTTTATCAAGGAACACCATCTAACTCTTCATTGCAGGGTGCTGACTTACCCATTGCTCTTAGGAAAGGAACCAGGGAGTGTACAAAGAAACCTTTATATTCCCTTACACCTTTTTTATCATTTGACAGGTTCTCTCCATCTCATAAAGCCTTTCTTCTAAATCCCAACTCCATAACCATTCCCAAAAATGTATCAGAGGCACCCATGAAAAATGGAGACAAGCCATGAATGATGAAATGGAAGCATTGGAGAAAAATAAAACGTGAGAGCTTGTGCCGCCTCCAAAAGGAAAGATAACTGTTGGTTGCAAATGGGTGTACAATGTGAAGTATAAAGTGGATGGATCCATTGAAAGGTATAAGGCTAGATTAGTAGCCAAAGGGTACACCCAAACCTTTGGGATTGACTATCAAGAGACGTTTGCTCTGGACTCCGGTTGCAAAAATGAACACTGTTAGAGTATTGTGGGCTCTTGCAGCAAATTATGGATAGGACTTGCAATAATTTGATGTTAAAAATGCCTTCCTACATGGAGACATTGAGGAAGAGATTTACATGGATGTGCCACTAGGATATGAGTGTTTTCCCAAAAAACTAAGTCTGCAAATTAAGGAAAGCATTGTATGATCTAAAACAATCTCCAAGGGCCTGGTTTGCAAGGTTCTCAAAAGCTATAATTGACAAAGGATATAGTTAGAGCCAAGGAGATCACAAATTGTTCATTAAACATTCCCCTTCAGGGGGAGTTATGGTCCTTTTAGTGTATGTTGATAATATAATTGTGACCGGGGATGACGATAAAGAGAAAACAGCCTTGAGCCAACATTTAGCCAGTGAATTTGAAATTGAGACATTGGGAAGATTAAAGTACTTTATGGGAATTGAGGTTGCTCACTCCAAGCAAGGAATTTTTATTTCTCCACAAAAATATATAATTGATCTTCTCAAGGAGACAAGAAACACCACATGCAAACCAGCCAACACGCTGTTAGGACCCATTTGCAAGGTATGAGACTTGGAATCCCATATTGGTTGTATGAGCAACTAATGTGGGGTTTATAAGGCCTGAGACACTCCTACTCTTTGGGCATCTCAAGGAGACAAGAAACACTTCATGTAAACCATCCAGCACGCTTTTAGGACCTATTTGCAAGGTATGAGACTTGGAGTTTCACATTGGTTGTATGAGCAACTAATGTGGGGTTTATAACATAGTAGTTAATTGCGCCGCAATAGCGCCGCGAGCCGCGCCGTATGGGCGTTGCGGTGCCTCGCTGCAATAGCGGCCATTGCGATCGCATTTGCAGCCATATTGCTGTCATAAGGCAAAATGTCAATTTTGTCCTAAATTTAAATGTGTAACAGATAAAATTTAAGGGTTTTTTTTACTCTATCTGCGTCTGTCTCTGTCACTTCTGCTATCTCTTACTTTAAAAAATATTTATTTTTGTCATATATCTATTCCGCAACTGCAACCCGCTATAACGCTATAGCATTTTTCGGGGTTGGTTGCGACATGCCGCAATCCGCATTTGATAACTATAGTTTATAAGGCCTTGGACACTCTCACCCTTTGAGCTAGTTTTCTGGGTGGTGCATCCCAGATTCTTATCAAATGGTATCAGAGCCTTCCACTATGTCTCTAGTTGCAATCGAGCGGCGCAAGCAATGATGTTGACATTGCAAAGTTCGCCCACTAGTAAAAAGCTATTGCAAAGCCAACCCTCGTGGGCACCGGGGTTGCGGAGCATGGTGGAATGTTAAGACCCATTTGCAAGGTATGGGACTTGGAGTCCCACATTGGTTGTTTGGGCAACTAATGTGGGGTTTATAAGACCTTGAGCACTCCCACCGTTTGAGCTAGCTTTTGGGGTTGTATATCCCAAGGTTCATATCACACGCCTATTGATCCCAATCTAAAGTTGGGACTAGCTGAAGATGATTCGGTGAACAAATGAATGTATCAACGGCTAGTAGGAAAACTCATTTATCTGTTACACACAAGACCAGACATTGCATTTGTTGTAAGTGTAATAAGTCAGTTTATGCACAACCCAAAGGAAACTCACTTGCATGTTGCATACCGAGTTAATCATTATCTTAAGGGGGTGTTTGGTTGAAGAGAAATTTGTATGAATAATAGGGAAATGAGATTACTAGTGAAATGGTTGGGAAGTGAGTTTGATAGGAAAATGTAAAAAAAGTAGTTTGGTAAGAAAAAATTTTACCGGGAAAATTAGGTAACTTTTGTAAAGTCTATGTTTGGCTTTTGATAAAATATAGATGGGGAAAAAAATATGCTTTTACTACAATAATCTTGATTTTAAAAAAGGCTGAATCAACCTTGCTACCCTTTACCCCTAATCATTTCCCAACGGACATAGAAGAAACGTGTGTGTTGGCTGATTGTAAACAGTGGTTTACCTGGGTTTTAAAAAAAAACCACCTACAAAAAGTCTTTATAAACAGTGCAAAAACCTATCTTTCCAAGACAAAGTTGAAAAAGCAATGCAAATGGATGGATGGGGATTATGTGTTAATCTGCTGAACCAAACATTAGCTTTCTGGAAACCTTACTTCATTTGCATAGGAAAATTTTAGAAAGCCGTAAACCAAACACCACCTAAAGGGACACCTGGAAAAGGCATTCTATTCAAATGAGGAGGAGCGGTACTGCCGGAAGCATACACTGATGCCAACTAAGCAAAATCACCAAATGACCGCAGGTTTACTACTGGTCACTGCACTTTTTTTTGGAGGAAATTTAGTAACATGAGAAGTAAAAATTTGAATGTAGTGGCACGAGAAGTGCAATGCAGAGCCTGAATTCAGAGTTATGGCTCAAGGAGTCTATGAACTATTGTGGCTTAAAATTCTTCTTGATGATTTAAGGATTAAAAGAGAAGGACCAATGCAGCTTTATTGTGACAATAAGTCTGCAATTAGTAACCCAGTTTAGCATGATCGCACCAAACACATAGAGGTTGATCGACACTTCATCAAAGAAAAACTTGAAAGTGGGATAATTTGCACACCTTATGTCTCCACTCAACAACAACTTGCTGACATATCACCAAAGGATTGAGAAGTTCAGCATTTCAGAATATAGTATCCAAGCTGGGAATGGAAAATGTCTATTCTCCGGCTTGAGGGGGAGTGTGGCAAGTTGAACTATTAGTGGCATAAGAAGTTGAACCATTAGTGGCATAGGAAATTGTCATACTTAATGTATAATGGAGCACTAACATTAAATGTTAGTGGGTACTATAACCTAGGAAGCGGTCTTGTAAATATCACTTGTATTTACTAAATCATTGTGTATAAATAGCATGTTGCTGGGTGCATTTCACTCAGATCATTAAACAGAAAAACCAGTTCTATAATTCTATATTTCTTTACAGTTTCTATTTCATACTTTACCGAATATATTGTGAAGCAAATTATACTGCTTTGGCTGTCTCAACCCTCCATCCTTAGATGGATTGACTTTACCCAAAATTATGCATATGATCTGATGTTCAGGGCTTTTTGTTGCAGATCATGAGAGATCCTGAGACAGGAAATTCCCGTGGTTTTGGCTTCATTAGCTATGATTCATTTGAGGCATCTGATTCAGCTATTGAGGTATACCTAAGTCATCATTTGTAGGAATGTAGTATCAAGTTAACCTTTCATTATTTTGTTAAAACTTATTCTACTCTTTCCGATATAAACAGATTCCACATTTCTCATTTCAACTCTATTTTCCTGTGGCTTGCAACAGTTGCAAATAGTCTATACTCAAATGTCCATTCTTATATTATATTTATTCCCATTTATTTTTTGGGTCAAATACACTTTCCCCCCCTGATTTATTCCTTAAGTTACTTTTTTCTCCCTCATTTATTGAATCAGGAAAATTACTCCTTTTGACATAACTTATTGTAAATACTTCCTTCCATCTAATTTAACTGTTAACTTCAACATAATAAACTAAACTGCTATGTGATATAATTAATGTCCTGCTTCTTCCTCAACTTCACAGTCAACATTATAATTACTCTTTCCAGCGGTTGGAACTTGAAGCTATCAATAATTGTGTCAACTTCTAAAACATTGTCATGTAGATAGGTGACACCATGTCATTGCTATACTCTCTATGCAGCTTAATCATGCATACACATCATATACTCTATATGCAGCTTAATCATGCATACACATCAATATCATATGATAGAAGCTTTAATCTACATCAAAATCACATCCAGGTATCAAGTATTAAACTGGATTCCTATGTGAATAATAGTATGTCTAATAACTTAAAAGTAATCTAGCTCCTCAACTTCCTCTCCATCCAATCTAACCATATTGCCACCCTCATACTCAGTAATGTCATCTTCCCACCATAATAAAGCACTCCATGAAATGTGTGACTTCTCTTTCACAAAGAAGAAATTTTACCACTGCTTTAGACTTGTCCTCTTATCTTCCCATCATAATGCACTTCTAAATTTATGTGTGTAGCAAATGACCCTAACAAACAATAACAAATATTAAATAAAGCATTAATTTTGATTGAGAGTTTTATGAATGACTAACTTTAAACATTTCGACTATGTTTGGACTTTAGATACATAATGATGAGTGGAATGGAATGGGATGAAATGGAATAAAATTACCATGCCATTGTTTGGATATTTTATGATGGAATAAATGAAAGTCTCCATTGCATTGTTTGCGAAATGGGTGAAATGTTAGAGTTCTAACTTTCCTTTTACTATATAGCATGGTTCCAATCCATGCCCCCCCTGGGCGAAGGAAAAATAAAGGTATTGGATGGATGCAATACATTCTGTGGTTCCATTCCATTGCATCGTACTTTAAACAATCCAAACAATGACAGTTAATGTAATTCCGTTCCATTCTGCTCCATTCTGTCCCTTTCCGTCAATCCAGACATAGCCTTAATGTTTTTGCCATTATGCAAAGTTAAAAGAGAGTAGGAAGGCATATTGTTTTACTATAATCTCCATTTGACCTTTGATTATACTGACACCTTACTAACGTATATCATTCCACTTTTTACTTATACATCTTTTGTGATTTCACCTCACTAATTATAAATCAGGAGGATAAAGTGCGTTTGACCCTTATTTTAATATTACCTTTATAAATTGTAATGTGTTTCAATTTTGTTGTTCTCTGGGTATCCAAATCATACTTAACCATAGAATATAAAAAGGAGTAAGCATTCCCTCATGGTGAAATTTTTCTATATTTCATAGGCAATGAATGGACAATATCTTTGCAATCGTCAAATTACAGTATCATATGCATATAAGAAAGACACTAAAGGTGAAAGGCACGGTACTCCAGCAGGTGCGCCTCTTTCTTGCATCTATCTATATGTTTTTTGGATTGATTCATGCATATTATTTCTGCATTATCTAGCTATCCGCTCACATGTCTTCTATGATGCAGAAAGAGTTTTGGCTGCTAGCAATCCAAGTGCACAGAAGAGCAGGCCTCATACTTTATTTGCCAGTGGGCCTCCAACACTTCCCAATGTTGCTCAGGCTAATGGTACCATTGCTGCTCCAGTGCCTCCCCGCCCCTTCGCTAATGGGGTTGCTCCAGCTCCTATTCCTGCTCTCCGTCCACCACCCCCTCAGGCAGCTGCATTCCAGCCGATGCCGGTAGCTGGACAACCAGCATGGCATCAACAACAGCCAGGTCAAGCAATGCTACAACCTGTAATGCCTCCACCTCAAATGCAGCAGTTTAGGCCACCTCACTCTGGTATGCAGATGCCACCACCTCCACAAGCTGTTCCGGCTCCTCCAAGGCCTCTTCCACCACCAACGGTAATGGCAAGCCAACCACCACCTATTTGGCGACCGCCACCACCACCCCCACCTCAACAACAAGGTGGGCGGCCTATGGCATATCATCAGTCCTCAATGCCACCACCACCTCCCAATAACCATGGCATGCCACCACCTTCAAGTTGAATGAATGCAATCCTTATGGAATGGTTCCTGATTCCCATTATCTGGAATTTTCCCCCTGTTTATTGTTAGTTGTAGTGTTATATTTTTGAACTACACTGGTGTAGATTGTAAAATGAACGTCCTTGACAGTCAACAATAAGAGAATCATTACTGCTTAGGACTGAAAGTGTTCCTGCCAAGATAGGTGAACATAATCCTGCTGATATGTATCGGACGAAAACACCCAAATGCGATTATAGCGTTTTTGTTCTTTTCATAGACGGGACGATGGAATGGAGAACATTAAATTAACTTGCATGCATAAAAAAATTTGGTAATGGGAAAAAGTGTGCATTAGATAATAGTGTTGAAAAAAAAAATCAGTTATAGCTTTTTTCTTGAACAGAGTTTTTTCTTTAAAAAATCTATTATTTTAGATTTTAAAATTAAAAATAAATACTTTTTCCTTTATGGATATTGCTTGCCTTTTTAAACTAGGCTTTTATCAAGCATACTTAAAAGGTCCTAGTAGATATAACACTAAGACATTTTTATTTTCGTCCAATCAAATTCTAAAAGCAAATAATTGAAACATAAGATTATGATAGTGTAAATAAAAATAATTCGTCTATTTGATTTTGGTTCACCAACCCATTTTGAAGTCTCTGTACTTTCATCATCACTTATCGAGGTTTGATTAAAAAATGAAACAATTTCTTGTCTTTTAAAATTACAGTTCATAGTTCAATATAATAATTTATTAACAAATCTTTGCAAAAAAATTATAACCTATCTAATAATTTTTCTTCTTGGAATCGTTTCCTCCTCCATTTCCCCTAAGCTTCCTTATTAAGATAAAAAACCTCCACCATCTAAAAAAAATAGCACGAAGAATAAACATAAACAGGACGACAATTATTTGAATTCATACACGAAATTGCAAAATCTTTTGGACATCCTAGTTCAAATGATTCTTAATAGCCACCACAGAGCCATCACTCGAACTCTTGTGTAAACAATTCATAAACATGTGTTATGTTTTTATTGGCTGGATGAGGTATTAGTAGCCTATTAAATTTCCCCCCTCTAATCACGTTTCATGCATTAGAATGTGAGTGGCCCATCATACCTAGATTTATAATTAATGAAGAGGAAAATCGAATTAATCATATAAAGACGTACATGATAATAGCTTAGTTGGCGTCAGAGAATTGAGCAAGTGAGAGTATGTGTTCAATCCTCCCAGTATTGTATTTGAGAGAAGTTTAAAACCTTATTCTCAGAATCCATCCCGAATCAAATTAGTCGTAAAGCGATGAATTGATTAAAATATAAAAAAAAATATGGGGATATAAAACAACGACAATCCTACAAAGGTTTTGTACTTTAGCTGAGTTGGCATTTGTGTTGACTGTTGGTTGACTCTTGGATGAATTTCAATATAGAACAGATGAAAGTTCAAAATGGGTGCACTCTCTAGGCAAGCAAGACTCTTAGGGCTCGTTTGGTGGACAAAATAAGATAAGGGTAGGATATGATATTGGGCTGATAAGGGTAGGATATTATATAAGGCTGATAAGCCTATATCATATCCTGTGTTTGATGAGCACTTGATTAGCAATCTGATAAGATTATGTAGAAGGAGAAAGAAGAAAGAAAAAATAAAATATAATGCAATAAATACAAATATATTGGGTAACGTGAGGATATATTGGGTAGCGTGAAGATATATTGGGTATCCAATATTAGTATCCTATCATATTGAATCCTAACCCAGCTCCCTCCATAGGATAAGAAATCATGTATTGAATAGGATAAAATGAGACAATAGGATAAGCTAATCATATCCTATTGATCCACCAAACAAGAGATAAAAATAGGATATGATAAGTTATCCTATCCTATCTTCTTTATCAGGTGCTCCAAACAGACCCTTAATGCTTAGTTCCAAGGTTCTGTTAGATAATAATATAAATCATTAAAAATGCCTTTACCCAATACCTTAAGGTTTTTGGTTGAAGTGGTTCTTTACATGGTATCAGAACTTGAGTGACTTCATGGTCACGAGTTCGATCCTCACCGCCCCCCACTTGTGAAATTAAATAAAAAAAGCACAAAAGGTAAACCAAAAATTGAGCTTGTGCATTATCTACACTTCAAGCCCAAAAGGCTCTTGTGTGAGGGAGTATGTTAGAAAATAATATAAATCATTAAAAAGGTCTTTACCCAATACCTTAAAATTTTTGGTTGAAGTAATTCTTTACAAGTTCCTTGCCTTATCTTTTTTCTAGACTCACGTGAAGGTCTATCTAGATTAATATATAAGTTAATGCACATATTATAACCTAACACGTACCTAATATTTGGATAATAAAATAATTGAACCTCCAATTTAAACGATGACGAAAAATCAAAAGAAAAGAAATCCGCTTGACTTAAGGAGTTAAATAAGCTATAGCTTGTCAAAAAAATGACATCTAATTTCGTAAGTAATTAATATTCAAATAGGGGAAAACACTGGGAAATGTGATCTATCATTTTTTTTTTTAAATTCCAACCAACTGATTGAAAACATTGGCAAGCTTGTTTCATACTGATTCTAGCTAAGAGGATGAAAATCTTGGAAAAATATTATAATACCAAACAGAAAAAATGGCAAAAGCCACCAATGGTCCAGAAATTTATAAAAGTACTTGTACAATACAAAATATAAATTCATAAAGTATTTGCATAATAGAAAAATATTGATCAAACAGATGGAACTTTATTCAACAATTTACATAATCAGGTTTTCAAATCTCTACTGATGGAAATCCATGGCAAAGAAATGGCCACAAAAGTTACAAATTGATTAAGAACCATTAGCATTTTGTAAAGGCACGAAATTGCTCATTAAAAAGAAAATCAAATTATGGTCAAAGTTTAGAAAGATTTGAAGAAATAACGTGACATAAATAGAATCAATTAAGGAAACGAAATTTTTTTAAGAGAGACAGAGGCCTAAAGAGAAAAAGAAAAAGAAAAAGGAAAAGGAATATATATATATATATATATATATATATATATATGGATCAGGATCATTTTATACCGGTGTAAAACTTAACTGTTGATTTTCGTGCATCCAACGGTTATAATTTAGGAAGTCATACGAATTAATTAATATTAATTAATCATTAATTACACTATAAATACAAATTGATTTTCGTCTATTAACGATTAAGGTGTAAAAAGAACCTGCCCCTACACACACACACACACACATATATAAGAAAATATTAGTTTCATGTTGTAGGAGACTAGTATCTCTGTCATAGACAATGGTATAAAAACCAGACCAACCCGGTGGGGTTGACCCGAAAATTGTGAACCGGTCATATAACTGATCCGATTTTCATATTGGATCGGCTATGTAATGGAACCGATGTGACCGGGTGCGACCCGGTCGATTTTTGTAAAAATTAGTGACTTAGTCGGTTCAACAAGTGACCCGGCCCGATTCATAATGCCTTTCTTTTTTTCACTCTCACACATAAATGATTTGTTTTCTTTTGAAATATTTGAGTGATCTGTTGCTTATTGAGTTACATAGGTTATGTACCTACAACACTAATTATTATCTTGGTTATGCAATATGCAGCGAATTTCGATTTAATTCATGAGTAAGATTATACTTACAATCTATTTTTGTTTACAACCTCTTACAACCATATTTTAACCGTTGATTTCTGCCAATCAATGATTATTATTTTCATAAATCAAATTCATTAATTAATTACTAATTCGTAATAAATGATAATCGTTAATTGACATAAATCAATGGTTAACATATGGTTGTAAACGAAAATAAGTTGTAAGTGTAACTTTTCTCTTAATTTATACTTAGAGATGTCGTTTACTGAACCTGAAGCACCAGTATCATAAGTATTATATGTTTGATTGATCTTTTGTTGGACAATAATATATAATTTATTATTTTTTATATTAAAATATTTGAAATTGGTATCTTTTTTTACAGATATTTGCGTATATTTATAGTTTTTTAATATAAATTATAAATTTACATATACATATCAGGTCTTGCAGTTGAACTAATAACTTATTGGTTGAACTAGTGACCAATACCTCGACCGGGTCAATAACAAGGTCGGGTTTAATAACATTGGTCATAGACACAAAGCTCGTGAGGTCCACTCTTTTAAAAAAAATTAAACAAATAAATAAGTGAGCCCTGCTTTTTGTGTTTATGGCATGAGATAACCACTCTCCTGCAACATGAGACTAGTATTCTCCATATATATATAGGGAAAAAAGTTTCTGATGTTACTTTAGATAATTTTGTCTAATGTTCATCGAAACGACGTCGTTTTGATGTTAAAAAATTATAATGATAAAGACTATTATAACCCTGAAATAAATTAAAATTACAAAAACACCATGATTTCTGTCCCAAAACGACGTCGTTTCGATGAACATTAGATAAAGTTATCTAAAGTAACTTTAGAAAAAACAAACCCATATATATATGGCTTTAATGTTTCTACATTGAATGCAGATAATTTACCTACATTTACTCCCAAAATGACATCGTTTTAGGTTGAAAGATTAAAATTTTTTAAAGATAAAGGCTGATATAATCTTGTAATAAATTATAATTAGAAAACACATTGATTTCTGTTCTAAAACGACGTCATTTTGGGTTCAATGCAGATAACTTATCTACATTCACTGCAGAAGAATGAAATATATATATATATATATATATATATATATATATATATATATATATATATATATATATATATATATATGGAGAACACGTTTCTGCAGCCACTTTAGATAAGATTGTCTACATCTACTCTTTTTAACTAAGTATGACCGGTCATACATTAAAATTGCATTTTCTCTCTCCGCCACGTCAGCCGACAGTGTCTGAGGAAAGAGAAAAAAAGAGCAGCTTTATTGTTATAACTAAGTATGACCGGTCATACTTAGTTAAAAAAGGGTAGTTGTAGATAACCTTATCTAGAGTGGCTGTAGAAATACTCTTCCATATATATATATAGGCTTTAATGTTTCTAAAGTGAATGTAGATAGGTTATCTACATTCGCTCCCAAAACGACGTCTTTTGGGTTGAAAAATTAAAAATTATAATGAAAAAGACTATTATAACCCTGAAATAAATTATAATTACAAAAATACCATGATTTCTGCCTCAAAACAACGTCGTTTTGGTCTTACTGT